ATGCTATACTAAAAAAAAATTCAAGGAGACAGGAAAAACACATAATTCAGAAAAAAAATAAGAGAATATATTTCAATACATCCAATAATGTGGGGGATAAAATACACTACACTGGAAAATTTCACAGGTTAAAGCATTCTGTACAATATCATACAATATTCACATAGATATAAAGTGCATTAACTTACAAAGAATAAATAGTTTGGTCCCTTAATATATTCCATTGTTGGAATTACTTACACCTGTATGTGATGATATGAAGGTGGCTCCTGTGTTATCTCAGTTACTAGGATAGAAAGTGTAAATTGAAATGTGTAAGTTGAATAATTAACACAACTTGTGATTTCAGAAGATGGTCATAGACAGTTTCTGTGATGATTTTTTTTCATATACTTTGAAGAGTCCTCCAAAAGCACATAAAATATATAATATACAGTCCTTGAAAAAAGGATAGTGAAGATAATTAGTTTATAAGAACTATATAAGTCTATATTTATGAATAATATTCAGTAATTTTTAATATATTGTGTTAACAGTGAGCCATTCTCTATGAGGGATGAAAAATATATTTGATAGAATATAAGTACATTCACACTTAATTATAATTATATGAAAGCTTTTCAGTGTCACATCTGCCATGTGGGCAGATGCCGCTGGTTCACACATAAATTGACAAATGAACACAACACACTCACAAAAAAAATCTCTTTATACACTTTCATAAATATGACATCTAAACACACACTGATACTAAAAACATATCAGGAGGAAAAAGTAAAAAACACGGACAGTGTGAAGACCTCATCCACTTTGGAAAAGCCCAAGGTAAAAGATCATTAAAAGTACAGCTGAAAAGCGGGAGCACAAAGAGCAAGCCATAAAAATACTTAATGCAATTTAACTGACTAGTAAATGACTTCTCAGGAGATGTAACATTAAATGGATTTGTTTCTCTTAATCGACGCTCTCACAAGAAAACTAGTGTCTATAGAAGTTAAGTATATGATATTTTATTTCCGTGTGTGTGTGTGTGTGTGTGTGTGTGTGTGTGTGTGTGTGTGTGTGTGTGTGTGTGTGTGTGTGTGTGTGTGTGTGTGTGTGTGTGTGTGTGTGTGTGTGTGTGTGCGTGTGTGCGTGTGTGCGTGTGTGCGTGTGTGCGTGTGTGCGTGTGTGCGTGTGTGCGTGTGTGCGTGTGTGCGTGTGTGCGTGTGTGCGTGTGTGCGTGTGTGTGTGTGTGATTTGCTTGGAAAAATCATGTCTCTGAATACAAAAGTAACATATAAACTCATAGTTTTTTTTATTGTCCATGTCTCCTGTATATTTTATCAAGACAAAAGAAGACAGTATACTCTGTTAAAAGAAATTAGTTCATAAAAGTACATTATGAATATTATTGTGCAGGCATATATGCATATTAACATTGTATTAACACAGTCGCTTTTAATTTATACAAAACTAAGACACTTTGATATCACTTTTATACAATTATACAAAGTTACATTCAATTCTGCAATGATCACAGGATCACATATATGAAGAATATTTACAGTTTCTTCGCAAAACTATCCTCTGATTCTAAATTTCCTGAACCACAATCTGGGTTTGACGAGTAGCCACATCACAGCACTGGCAAAGTGAACCAGTTTTTCGTATTATGCTCAGTGCAACGCATTGTCACGTAATATGCAAGAAAGTCTCAACTTTTCTTTCGAAGTTCATAACTGAGTCCTGCCTCGGCCTCAAGCAGAGCCCGTTTTCATTTTCATTTTTGATCTCGAGGCAAACTCCGGGACTCCTCGCCCAGGGGGTCGCCAGTGGCTGGCCTCCCTCCCTCAGGGGGTCGTGGGCGAGTTGCTGTCCTTGGGCAGGGGTGGCAGGGGGCGCAGGCTGCCCGTGTCGCTGGCGACGCTACCCTGGCGGCTGCGCGGGAAGGGCGCCTCCTCGTCGCTGGTGAGGCGGTTGAACTTCCGGATAAGTTCTCGCGCCGCCTGGGCGCCAGCGGCCGGCGCGCTCGACTCGCTGACGAAGCTCACGTCTGTGGGCGGCTCGCTGATGCTTGCGGTGCTGCTGGTGCTGCTGATGCTGGGGCACACGGGCGAGTGTGCGGAGGCGCTGCTCACGCCGGAGCTCGTGGCGACGTGGCTGAAGTCGCTGCTGACGCTCGGCGAGGAGGGGGGGTTCTCGGCGTCCGGAGGTGTCGGGGAGCTCGCCGCGCTCGGAAGCGGGCTGTCGGAGTCGCTGGCGGCGGCGCGGCGGCGCTTCTTGGTCTTGTCGACGCGGGCGTAGAGCGCCATGATCTCTGGGGGCACGTCGCCGCCCTGGGCGCCGCTCGACAGGTTCTGCAGGATGTCCGGCACCGTGTCTTCGCCCTCGCCGGCGCCGCCCTCCGTCCTGGGCGGCGGGGGCTTGGGCTTGAGTGTCTCGTAGCCGTGGTGCCGCGGCCCCGCCTCGCGCACCGTCTCGTAGCCATGGTCCGCCGCGCCCTTGAGCGTCTCGTAGCCGGGCTCCTTGCTCTTGACCGTCTCGTAGTCGTGGTCCTTCTCCCTGACCGTCTCGTAGCCCGAGTCCTTGCCCTTGGCGTCCTTCAGGGACTCGTAGCCCACGCTGTCCTTGTCGTCCAGCACGCTGCCGGCCTCGCTGTCCAGGTCGGACGCGAAGCTTTTCTTGCGCAGCGTCTCGTAGCTGTGCTCGGAGCGGGTGCGCACGCGCTCGTACGGCGGCTCCTGGCCGGGGATCTGCGCGTAGTTGGGGTCGTCGTCGAGCTCGGAGGCGGTGACGGCGGTGCCGTGGCTGCCGGCGAGGCTGTGCTGGTCGGGCGGCCGCAGCGGCAGGTTGGCCAGCAGGTTCTGCTGGAAGAGCGCGCCCCTAGGTGGAGGCGCGCCCGGGCCGCCCGCGGGGCCCAGGGAGCTGGGCGTGGTCCCGGCGACGCTGCTGGCGCTGACGGTGTTGGAGACGTCGTGGTGGCGCGGACCGACCATGGCGCCGTAGAGCGTGGCGTCCTTGGTGGGCGAGGAGCGCACCAGCGAGCGCAGCGACCCGGGGCCGGAGATGAGGTGGCGCCGCGCCAGGAGGACGCCCACGACCAGCATGGCCGCCGTCAGAAGGCCCGCCATAATGGCCAAGGCAACCACCAGGCCCTGCGTGCCCTGCGGCTCGGCTGCGCCCGCAGCGTCCTGGTCAAATGTTAGCGCACGCCCGCTGCCTCGCCGCACGCCCGCCGCTGTCGCCGACGCCTCCACGGGGATGCACGTGACGTTGATGAACTTCCAACTGCCGCTGTCCATGCACGTGGACACGGTGTCGCCCGTGTCTGTAGGGAGAGAAGGGGGGGGGGGGTTAAGGTCGTTCGCGACGAGAATATCTCGGCCGTCGCCTTCATTCATGACACTGCATATGCCAGTCCTGGTGAAAAGCACACGCGCCGAGACAGGATGAACAGAACAACTGCGTGAGGCTGAACCAGCCACTGACCTCTATGCAGCCTGTAGCCGTCGGCGCAGGAGTAGACGGCGATGCCGTTCCAATGCGTGGAGCCGTTGAGGAGGGTGTAGCGCGCGTTGGCGAAGACCGGCGGCGGCCCGCACGTCACGGCTGGAGGGCAGAGGCGTGTCAGAAGGCACGGGGCAGAGGGGAGGAAGGCGAGGAAAGGAAGCAAAAATAAATAGGAGGGGAAAGCTCAGAAAAGTGAGAAAGAAAGGAGATATAAGTGGGTGATGAGGAAAAGGAAAATAGGAGAGGGAGATGAGGAAAAGACAAGTCAGAGATGGGAGAAAAGCAGTAGACAGACATGAATGGGAAAGAATGTGCAAGCCCTATACATGTTGTGAAGAACATACTGCTTCTACACAATATATGCAGTAATATAATACATGAAAACTAAACAGGAGACGTTATCACACACGATTGAACTACAATGAAAGCTGATTGGAAATTTACAAACTCAGTGTGGTAACAAAACGAGATTGGTCTTTAATAGCTGGATGGTGAAAGGAAACAAAAATTAACCATTAAATAATGACTCCAAAACAGCGCTAAAGACACGAAAATAAACTCAGAATATCCGCAGGAGAGCAGAACCGCGAGAGCAGGTCCAGGACCGACCTTGGCAGGAGGGCGGCTCGAGCGTCCATTTGCCCGAGTGGTCGCAGGTGCGCGTGCTGTTGCCTTGCAGCACGTAGCCGGGGTTGCAGCTGTACGTGGCCACCGTGCCGTAGCCGTACACGCCACGGAAGTTGGCCACCTCGATGAAGCCGTGGCTGATGTGGCCCGGAGGGGGGCACTGGGACTCTGGCGGAGAGGGAGAGGCGGTGATGGCGTTTGGGTCGAAAGGGTTTGAGGCGAGGATACCAATGCAATTTACTCCTAAACATCAACGCTTTTCGCATTCCCATAGTCCCCACCTTCCCCCCTCCCTTTCCCTCCTCCTGAAGAACTCACCCTTGCACTTGGGCGCCTGGCCCTCCCACTTGCCCTTGGAGGAGCAGGTGAGGACGGGGTCGCCCTCCAGCCGGAAGCCGGCGCGGCAGGTGTACACGGCCTTGGTTTCGCCCTCGCGCTCCACCTCGCCCTCGACAGGCACCTCCGGCTCGCCGCAGGGGATGCGCTCTGCGGGGGAGAGTGCATCAGACGGCGGATAAATGAGAGAAATAAAACAAGCGATAACTAATTAGCATTTTCGGGAATTCTACATTTTGAAGACACTGATCAATAAAGCATAACAACAACACACCCGTGAAAAAAGAGCAGTCGTCAGCAAATGAAGCACTAAAGGATAAATTACAAATCAGGAATATGAGCACGCGCGGTGTCCCATTCCAGGCAGCGCTGGACACGCGTCCCAAGAGCCAGCGACTCACCCCTGAAGGCGAAGACCTCGACCTCGCACAGCCCGAAGTACTCCTGCTCCTCCCGGTCGTCGCGGATGTACACGAACTGGCCGGGGTGGCCCAGGCCGTCGTTGCACTGGAAGATGGCCTTGTGCGTCTGGAACACACCCTGCG